CCCTCCACAGCCACATCCACTTCCTCATACCTTCACATACACACCGGCCTAGGGGAAACCAGGGAATCAATGGATGTCACTGCAGTGCCTCCGCTTGGAAGTTCATAGGATTCGAATCCAAACGGTGGCAGGATTTTCGACACTAACTACACAACTCCGTCGAATTCAGCTGATGTCTGGAGGAGACTTCTAGCGACTGGCTGCTCTGATCGGTAGTTTTCCGTCGTTTCTTCGGTAAATTCCATGTGAATGTCAGAGCAGTACCCTAACAAACGGACAACGGACCACACGTGATATTTGCACTTCCTTGTGAAAAACAACTCGATATTTTCCGTGTATTTTCGGAAAACCTCCGATTATCACCAGGCGAATGCCGGAGTACCCTAACGGGTCACAGACCGCGGGCGGTCTTTTTGTCCCCATCCCTATCCTATTCTCACCACTTACTTACATACACATGAGCGATCACACATGTAGGCAAGTACCAACACTACCACACGTGAAGAGAGACAAGTCGGAGCATAGAGGTTGTCGCGTCTGCGGCTGTGTCCAGCTATTGGGAGATAGCTGGGTGGGGAAAATTCTATTATGCAGACGTGTAGACCGCCGCCGGATCCCGCAATCCACATCACTTACGGAACTAAAGGCATTAGCAGGCGACCCACCCGGCAACACTAATCAATCAGCACAACCACATCATCTCCAGACGTCTTCGTTACTCATATCAAACTTCCGCTTTGCCAATCAGCCAATCAGCGTGCATGACGGATGAGGAAGAGGGATCGCCACCATGCTCCATTTTTCCCGACACACTGACGTTTTAAAGTATCTATACACGCGGGGCCACACCACTAAACTAGGTCACGAGATTCTTTCGAAACTAGATCGAGGTTCCTCGACTTAGAGCAAATACGCACACGAAGGCACCCGACCGCGTCTGCGAGGAAAAAATATTCGCGGTTGTGCGCTCTAGTTCGAGTTGACCAAGTTGAGCGCGAGAACCGCCACAAAATAACGTCCGGTCGCAGTCCAGTGACTCGCAGACTCGCCTAGAGCCGATTCGTCTTCCCTCCAGAACGAAATTTCCCGGCGGAGGTCATCTTTAATGTTATTCTCCCGCCCGCCAGCCTCGGCCGAAAGTTAATGTTTCATCCTCCTCCGAGAAATATGTTTTAACAACAAGTCATCTCCAAGTTTTCTGAGGTACGAAAGCAAGACTACTCTATTTTTCGGTCCAGAGTAGTTCTTGTGAGTTTGCCAGAAGAGTAAAAAAATTCCCACTGAATAATATTATCGCAAATTTGTTTGTACTTCGTTAGGTTATGGAATGCAAACATAACTCGCATCAGAAAAGAGTTAATAGCGTGTATTACTTCTTACTACACTTGGAAAACATTATATTTGGAATATTTCCAGAAGTGAAACTATAAATTTACAACTCAATTTCAAAATAAATTTCTTTTACCATTTTACAAATGAAAAAGATATTGATATAATTATTGACCATCACCATAATGCAGTGACGTAACGGATGACAATCTTTTGTTATTGATTTAAGCAACTAATATTCGTAAATAAACCATTAAAAGAAAAAGCTAGTCATATCCCATCTGAAAGCAAATAATTATTTAGGACAACACTATAATTTAATGCTAATTATCTGAAATGTATTGTAAATTAAATATTCCAATTAATATGTTTCGGTAAGTTGCAATTAATCTTCTCGATCCGTTTTAATACCGTGTTCAATAAATGAAATACATTGCGCGTTTCCTTGCGTCACTTGGGATGCAAGCACTGCGTGTGTGCTTCGGAGATGTTTATCGCTTGCATTACCTAAAGCAATAGCGGTTCTGTGGGGACGATAGTTCAAATTGGTTCTCAATAATGAGCCAAGGTGCTCTGACAAGGTTATGTATCGGCGTTGTGTCAATAAGACAAGTATAATGAAACGTAGATTCTATCGGACAATGACATACACCGTGTAGAGGCCAGTGGCAATTGGAGCACCTGCTTACCCCCAACGACATGAATAGATATCACTGTGTGCATTCACAAAGCTTACTCCCCATCTCCTGACCCGTATAATGCTCTAATAATGTTGATTTATGGTTTCCTATTAATGCAATACATCAGTTCTCCCGAATTTCAACAATTTCATCAAAACAAGGGTTTAATATTGATAACTTAAAAGTTAGACAATGTGCATTTTTTGTGTCTGCAAAATGCAGACAGTGTGCATTTTTTTTAAGTTTTAGTAAACATGTCTGCTAGTAGATAAGCTTCACGTAGCTACGGTAAGCTTGAAGTACGAGGTCCGTAGGTTCACCAAAACGAATTACCCATTAAAATAAAGTAAACCGTTCTTCTATTTGAACCAAACATATGAGGTATCTTTATCTTTCCTCAATAATATTGTACATATACCTTTCTAAATCACTAAATTTATTGCAAACTGCTTGCTTTGAAGGAGTAATGAAATATTTTCTAATCAGAAACAAACCATTTAAGAAATGCGCAGTCGCAATATTTTCTCAGCCTATCGAAACTCGGACCAAAATGACGACCTGGAGAATATAAGTAATAAGTAACTATTTCACGATGAGGTTATCTAGTCATATATACAATTTTGATGTACTTAAAGTGACTCTCAAAGATTAGTTCACAATTCCTTACTTTTATTATTTAAACCATATGATCAGGGGATAAGCTTACAAACATATATGGCTTAGTTGCCCGACTTTTCCAGGCTCGTCAATTGCCAAGGTCAGTAGTCCTGTTCGTGTCGTGAATATTTTATCCTGGGAGTTGCGGGATATTCGATTGCGATATCCGAACCAGACGTCATCTTGCGACAGATCTACCCCCCCCCTTCCGGTATCTCTCCCAGAGTGATGTCGCTCCAGCAGAGACAAACTGGAAGCAACGACGATCTTCCGACATGAGTTGTAATGCAGTGCTTTCCGCAAGTGTGTTTGTTTGTGTGTGTGTGTGTGTGTGTAAGCGAATATGATAGGTTAGGATGATGATGAAGAAGAAGCAGAAGAAGGATGATGAAGAAGAAGCAGAAGAAGGATGATGATGATGAAGCAGAAGAAGGATGATGATGATGAAGAAGCAGAAGAAGGATGATGATGATGAAGAAGCAGAAGAAGGATGATGATGAAGAAGAAGGATGATGATGATGAAGAAGGATGATGATGATGAAGAAGGATGATGATGATGATGATGAAGAAGGATGATGATGATGAAGGATGACGATGATGATGAAGAAGAAGAAGAAGAAGAAGAAGAAGAAGAAGAAATGATCGCGCGCAGTCCATGGTCAGTTTAGTTAGGCCACGCAATCTGGTATTTGCCTCCTATTGACCGGAGAAACCACAGAAAACTACCGGTTAAAGCAGCCGTACGTTAGAATTCTTCTCACGGCAGCGGCTGAATTTGATTTGGCTTTGTAGGGGAAGACTGTCAAAATTCTACGACCGTGGAGACTCGAACCCAAGGACCTCCCCATATGAGTCGCAGCAAACACAGCGGCAATGCTGACTCTCAGCTGGTAAACATCAATCGGCATTCCCTAAGCAATTAAGATTCGAGGACATTCGTTCTGTATACAGCTCTGTTAATTTTTTTTCAAAAACAATTTCATAAACAAATCAAGTATGCTTTAAAATTCCTCGAAGTATCGAAGGGATATTAATGTGCACGTACAGTACTGTTTCGTAAATTCCAGTCACCACAAATTCAAAACAGACCAACAATTGCGGTTTTACAGTACTTGAAGATTCAAAACGAACATTTTATTTTGTAGAGCTGTTTAGCATTGAAAAGGAATTACTGATGTGCTATTTTGTGTTGAAGTCTCGCCCAACATATTACACTAGTGCATCATGCACATGTAGAAAACTAGTTTCTGGACAATAAGAATACTCTAGTATAAATGCGTGTGAATATTAGTGTCTTGAACCGATTATTACGGAGTATTAAGTTCAACCAGCATGTGTGATTCAATCTAATAGAAAGTATTATAATTGGTCATGTTGATTGATTTATTCGATTTTCCGGGGGCGGCGACAACAACAGTTATCAGTCGTTCAAGTCTGGTATACTTTTAATCACGGGAGATGGCGGTGTTCTTTCCCCGGCTTAGACGTGAGATTCGGCATCGACTTACACGTTGGCCTACGATTTTCCCCTTCTTATCTCCCACCAGCGAGGATCCTCCCTCCTGCAATAAGCTCTAAGCTCCAGATAGGTCTCCGGACATGTCTAGTGGTGTGGTGTAGTGCATGTGTGACAACATGTAGTAGTGAGTGTAAATGGGATAGAGTAAGCGAAAGGGTATTTGAGGGTTGAGGAGAGGACAAAGACAAGAAAGGAGATCGCGGACCTTGGCCCGTTGGTTAACGTGCTGCTCAGTTATTAGTTTGATACTGATGGGAGAAACCACAAAAAACTACAGATCAGAGCAGCCGGTCGATAAAATTCTTCTGCGAACAGCGGCTGAACTCGGCCTAGCTACCGTCAGAATCCAAACCCTAGGACGTCCCCGGTCAGAAGCATTGCAGTGACATAAGTTGATACCTTTAGTCACTTCAGTCGGTAATTAACAATGTTAATATTTCTTTACAACTCGATACTGATAGAAGTTAGCTTTTTTGTTAAAATACATCATAAAAGTATATGCATCTCATTTACAAGTGTAATACCTCATACTCGGAGCAGCGCATTGTCAACTTAACCCCGAAACAAACTTCAATATCAACTTTATAACCATCACTATCATTATTTCCATCACTAGATGGACGCCCTCCTCCTAATATTTGTAATAATGTCCATGCCTATTCCATTGTATGACGTTCCTGAGAGAAGAATCTCCTTGTGCGCAGGTCGTCGCTGTACTACTGGGCGCACTACGACTTCTTCAACGACACGGCGTCGGGCGAGCGCGTGTCGGGCACGGCGTGCGACGAGGTGTTCCACAGCTGGCGGCGCCCCGCGGGCCGCCTGCGCTCGCCCAGGAACACGCTCGTGTACAAGCGCGCGGGCCCCGGGCGCGACGTGCGCTGCCGCTTCTCCTTCCGCTCCGACCGGCGCGTCTTCGCGCGCGTGCTGCTCACCATCGAGAGCGTCGCCTTCAAGGTGAGAGGGAGCTGCGCTCTGGCTTAAAGGTTGCGCTGTCTGCGTTACGGACGCCTGCGTTACGGACGCCTGCGTTACGGACGCCTGCGTTACGGACGCCTGCGTTA